ACCAAATACCCCCAATGAAGAACTAAAAATACACAAAGTAACAGAAAGTGCTGAGATGAATATGCTTACAATGAAATTGAAAGAAAAAGACGACTCTGAATTCTTTACAATTTAGAACAATTAGTATAAATGGATAACAAACAGAACCAAGAAGTGAGACAAAAATGTTAATTGAAACAATCCTTAAGAAAGTAAAATAAAATTTTGTAAATGATATAAAGATATAAGAATAGTAATTATTATTTAATAGTATTTATTTAATATTATTTAATAGTAGATAAACGCAATATAATGTATTATGATATTTAAATCAAATCTTGTATAGATGCCAAGAACGTTGTTGATACCATGATGTTTTATGATGTAAAAAAAAAATTAATAAAAATATATTTTTTTAAAAAACATAATACAAACAAAACACAACTATTTGGGTTCAGATACCTGGTAAGCTCATCTAGTGATATGGACTTAGAGGAGGACAAGGTGATCTTGTGCATGTGAGGGCATTACATCTGCTGGCACCTCTGTTGAGGTAATTCCCCGTTAGGAGAATGAGCGCATACAGGGAGATGTAGTGAGAGAAGTGTTTGAATAATACACACACAGCACACAGATACACTGTACAGTTAATGTAGGTTTTTACTTTCAATACACATTTAAGTACAGTCCAAACAAGCAGTCCAAATCATTCACAGGTAAATCAGTCAGTGTTCATTTCAGGGATAATCCAAATATCAAAGTCAGTATCAAAAACAGTTCAGTAACAGACTTACATCAAATCCAAGAATAACAACCAATAAGGAAAAATGAAGGAATGGCAACTCTTTCCAACAGAAGGAAACAGAGACTCACTCATTTCACTGAGACTAAAACTAAACAAACCCAGGTTTCTGGCTCCATCTTATGGCCATTTGAGAAAACACACCCAACTACAGTTTTATGATTCTCTTAAAGATACAGTATTAAAATGTTTATCCTGGTTTATATATTTTCAATCCAAATAGCTGTTAGGTGACTTATATTCCTAACATTCTCCCCTTTTGGGTAAGACAATATATATAACCTTAAATTCTAAGTCCGTAATCTTCACAGCAAGCCTTATGCTTTATAGAGCCTTGGGCCTTTGTAAAATGATTTGCTATATTGTTTTCTGACAGTATTCCATCTTAATCATCTTACTTTGCACACATTGTCTCACATTTAAATATCTTAAATCTGTGTGTTTTGTTCTTGTCTTAACAGCAATATCTGAAGCCATCTGAATTGCTGGTTGGTTATCTTCATAAACAACAATAGAATCTGTTACATCAATTCCCATATGAATCAATAATTGCTTATACAAAACTAAATCTGTACATAGTAAAGACAAACATGAGAATTCAGCCTCCATTGTTGACAAACTTAGATGCTTCTGTCTAATAGACCTCCATCCAATCAACACCTTTCCCAATAATACTACAGTACCTGATGTAGATTTTCGTGTATTTATGTCTGTAGCAAAACTTGCATCAGCGCATGCAGTTAAACTCAGTTCATCTTTCGGCTCCAAATACAATGCATAACACATTGTTTGTTTCAGATATCTTAACACACGTTTAGCAGTTTGCCAGTGCCTTTCAGTTGGCTCAGCATTAAATCTCGCTAACTGATTAACACTGTATGCAATATTTGGCCTTGACCAATTATTTCTGCTTCTAATATAACCATACTATCTTATGTACCTTTGCAGAATCCCTTTTTCCATTAAGTTTTCACCCATTATCTGTAAATAGGCCCTGTTTCTCTATATTTTATAACTTCTTTTCCTTTCTTTCTTCCCTCTCATCTTCTCCCTCCCCTTTTTACCACCTTGTCTCTCTAAGTCTAATTCTCTCTTCTGCATTTCCCTCTTCTATTGCTTTCTGATTTTATACTTATTTTTCACTCTATTTTTTTTGAGTTGTTTTTCCCAATCTTAATCTTTCTATTCTCTTTCCCCCCTTTCCTTTTTTTCCCCCATCTAAGATTACTTGTTCATTAAAAATGGCTTCTTCTTTGTCGCAATCTTCTTGTTCTGCAGGCATTTCTTGTTGTTTCTCATAATTCCAAATCTCCATTTCTAAAAACTGAAATACAAAGCCAAAAGAACCTCTCCCTTCTTGTGCATCTTCTTTGTACTTTTTAAGTTCCATTTTCAGTTCTTCTAAAAGTGGAGCCATTTTAAAAAGTTTTAAACAACCACCCGATTGATTTTAGTCATTCAAAACAATAACCAAGAATCCAGAAATCATCAAGTAATCCAGATATGCCCGAGTTATATCTTCTTATTTCTTTTTTGATTTTCTCTTCTTGGGGTTTTTGTTGCGATATTTCAGTTAGAATGTATCTTTTGGAAGTCTTGTTGAGATTTTGCTGTAAGTTCTTTTTTAATTCCAGGCAGTCTCCTCCCTTCCAGATCCTATCCTTTTATTCTTTTCCTCTCCTTTCCTGTTTTCAAAAGCTTTTAATTATCCAGAAATCTTTATTATCCCTTTGACTTTTTATTTTCAGCATTAAATGCCTACTGATGTCAAAGTGGATTTTTTTCCAATTTCTTGCTTAAGTCTCTTAGCTGTCAGTATAGGAAAAGGAGAAAACCAAATCTTTTCCCTTTTCTCTCTCCTTTGCAGCTTAAAAATCTTCTTAGGGAACAATGTTATTGTTTTTTAACAGTTTCAATTCGAAGGTACCTTATTTGTTGCTTTTGCTGTTTGACCCGGTCAACCAAAACTTTCTCTTCTTATCTTCCTCCTGCACATTCTTTTCTAGTCGAGTTCTTCTTTGTGGTGGCCATTTCTGACCACTGCTGCAACCACCTTCAGGAAAGGGAGTAATGGCCAGCTGGGGAGGAGAGATGCGGCTCTCCTCAACCCTGCTGGCAGTCTCCCCCCTCTTCACCATCTCTATGGGTGGCTTAGCCCCGAAACCAGCTGGCTCAGGGTGCTCCAATGGTGAGCACAGATCGAAGCCTCGCAGAGATGAGGTTTCGGTCTGTCACTGAAGAAGCTCAAACCGGAAGCCTTCCATCTTTTTCCTTCTTCAAACAACCTTCCGGTTATGTCAGTCAATGTCAGTTTATCTCTGGGCAGGACTTCCAGTGAAGATACATAATCATCATAACTTTCATCCAATGAGGAAAGAATGATGTAAACTTAATGCAGCTCTGAAAATATCAGTTCCTTTTCATGTAGCTCTTGAAAAGTTCTTTTCATGAAGTTCAAATGAGCTAACATATCTCCACCTTTCAGAAGACATGCTCTAAACAGTTTACGTGCAAGATGTATGTGTGCACCTACACTGTCACGAACATAAATCCTCTTCAAATTCTCCCAACACCTAGTAGCAGACTCTTCTCCACAAATATGGACTAGCTGCTGGTCACTCAGTGTTATTCCAATTATACAAAGAGCTCGTTCGTTGTTCTGTTTAAAGTCAGCAAGCTTCTTGGCATCATCCTCATTTTCTGGATCCCAAGCATTTACATCCAGTGGGTCTTGAACTACATTCCATAAACCTTCTCTACGCAGAAGTAGACTGTACTTCATAGACCAGGAAACAGTTTGTTCCATCCAACCGGGTTATCAGTGGTAGACTTCTTGAAGTGACTTGTGCCATCTTTATCAGTATAGTAACACACAATTAAACAGTAAACAGCTGTCTGTATACAGTACTGTGTATTCACACTAACTCTCAGTTGTCTGAACCTGGTATGGCCTGGGCCCATAACCAGTGTTGAGGTAATTCCCCATTAGGAGAATGAGCGCATACAGGGAGACGTAGTGAGAGAAGTGTTTGAATAACACACACACAGCACACAGATACACTGTACAGTTAATGTAGGTTTTTACTTTCAATACACATTTAAGTACAGTCCAAACAAGCAGTCCAAGTCATTCACAGGTAAATCAGTCAGTGTTCAGACTTACATCAAATCCAAGAATAACAACCAATAAGGAAAAATGAAGGAATGGCAACTCTTTCCAACAGAAGGAAACAGAGACTCACTCACTTCACTGAGACTAAGACTAAACAAACCCAGGTTTCTGACTCCATCTTATGGCCGTTTGAGAAAACACACCCAACTACAGTTTTATGATTCTCTTAAAGATACAGTATTAAAATGTTTATCCTGGTTTATATATTTTCAACCCAAATAGCTGTTAGATGACTTATATTCCTAACAACCTCTTTCAATCAAATATGCCTTTGTCTGGAATCTTAAGATCACTGCACAACCACCCATTTCAGGGCTATATCTGCGCTCCAAAAATGTGGTCAGTGACAAATGTTACCTCTTTGCTGCTACCTAATGGACACCTGGAATTTTCCAGCCCTGATACCTTAGCCCTAGGTTTAATATTGTACATGAAAGTTTCCACTGTCTTTCTTATTTGTTCAAAATGGAAGGTGAGAACAGGGAAAGAGATCAAAGTAAATAAATAATGAGCTGAGAATAATCAGTGGCTATTAATTAGAGATCATCATTTGCCACTATTTCTGAAATATACCATTGTAAAATAGTATACTCAAAATGAGGAGAACTAAAAGATTTCTCTGACGCTATTAAGAAAGGCACAATGAAGTGTGTTTGTTTTTTGGCTTAGCATAATATGTAAACCTAAACTTTAAGGCTTAGTATTATCTGCAAACTACAACGCTATGGCTTGTTTAGCAAACCATGGATACAAATTTTGGCACAGCTTAATATGGTTTTAATCGAATAAGAAAACATGGTGCTGCCAAAATATATGTTATTCAGACTACTTAAAAGGATATAGTTAAAAATAAGCACCATTTTTTAAAAAAATCAGGTAGAATGAGGGATATCAAATTAAAATTCACTATAAAAATTATTATTCTGATTATCAAAAGGGTCAAACATTGGTACTAATGAATACCCAATATTCTTCTGAAGGCATAGTTTTATCTAAATGCTGACATAAAGAAAGCAAACATAATGCAAGGAAAAAAACAAACTTTACCTGTCTGAGCTGCTTAACATCGCCAAATATCTTCATCACTCCATCAATCTCACGCTCTAGCCTTTGAGCCCAATTCTGCATTCTGTGAAAGAAAGGTTGGAAGTAGAGTCAATGAAAAGAATCGGGTTAAAATTCAGCATTTACAGCTTAGCTAACATCCTTTGTTCTTATGTTCAGAAGATTCAGCATGTCCGCCTCCCATTCAATAAAACTGCAAGTTTATCAGCTGACCAAAATCTAGTACTAGACACACCATAAATATATACACAGAGAGACAACTAAAAATAAAAATCAATAAAATACTTGAGATTGGATTACTGTTTCTGCTTAAAAAAACACTGTTGAACTGGGATTTCAATTCCTTTCAATGAAGATATACCTTTTATAGAATAATACTACCATTCATTCTAATTTAAAAAAAATAGCTGGCTATATCATTTTAAAGAATATAATAGGGGAGGGGGGAATGAAGAGAATGGATCTGTGGATCTATTTTATTTTATTATTTTATTTTTATTTTGTCCCCCATCTCACTGTGAGGTATCTCTTCCAAAAGGATATGGAAAGACCGGGGGACTTGTTCAACCTTCTAAAATGTTAGAGATAAGACACTTACAGGATGGGTGCATGTTATATGGCTAAAATAGTATATTTGTGTTCCATAGAAATGTAGCATTAAAGTTTAGCTCCAGCAACTGATTAATCCTCTATTGTACTGCAAGTGAAGATCCTAAACTCTGCTGAAGATGTTACTAGCCTGGTAACAAAACATTCAGAAACCAACCCCCAAGCTCAGAGAACAAACCTTCACCCTCATGGAGTTTATGTAATGGAACATATTCACTGAGACTGGGAGAGAGCCTGGGGTTCATTAGAATGCAGGAAGCCAAAGAACTGGCTTGGTAAAAATAAGTTTGAAACTTCTGAACAAACTATAATATGCTCTAAGGAAATGGTCACGTTCAGCATTCCCATTTCAATTTTTAAACAGAATGCAATCTCTCTATATTTCAACCTTTTCCCCTATTTTTCAAGCATGGCTTGATGCCAGATTTCTTAACTCTACTTTAAACATGAGGGAGATCCATTGGAAGCTACAGTTTCCAGAGCAAAAATGCTGAAAAGGCAACAACAGCTGTCACCTAACACTAAGCATGGGAAAAGAATGGAAGGAACATGCAGTTCATAAAAGAAAGGGAAGCAACTGCATTTTGTCAAAGGGCAATCATTTGTCTGAAATATAGATAGTCCTCAATTTACGACCACAACAGAGCCCAAAATTTATGTGGATAAATGAAAAATTTGTTGTGAGTTTTGCCTCATTTTACAACTTTTCTTGCCACATTTGTTAAGTGAATCACTGAGTAGTTAAATTAGTAATTTGGTTGTTAAGTAAAACTGGTTTCCCTGTTGACTTAACTTGTTAGACGGTAGCGAAAAGTGATCATGTGACCTCAAGACACTGCAATCGTCATAAATGTGAGTCCCCTGTTAAGCAGATGTAAATCATGTGACCACGGGAATGCTACAACAGTGATAAGTGTGAAAAATGGTCATAACTCGCATTTTTCACTGTTGTTGCAACTTCAAACCAAGTGAACTGTTGTAAATTGAGGACTAAATGTAGCTTCAATCTTAATGTATAACACACATTCTTTATAGAAAGTGCTACATCTAACAGCCAGAGCCCCTCCGTCAGTTAAAGGAGGCATCTGACAGTCATGATCTACCAATCTCTAAACAGATTTATGCTAGAGAGGTCTTGTATGATGCCCTTGTTGGATTTGGGGAGATATTTGAGACCCTTGCTAATGCAGACAAAATCTCTGGGTGTCCTGCCATGGCAATGTGCCATGTGGCCAATCTCCCTTCTCAGCAACAACTATTAGCAGCACGAGGAACATATTCTCTCTCTGCCCCCCCCCCAAACCTTTCCTTCAGTTTCCACACCCAAGTTCAGCAGGAAAGAGTCAGAGACAGCTTGAGCATTGGGGCCAAGCCCTCTCATTTTTCATGCCCGCATGTGAGGGTTTGCGTCTAGAGAGGAGCAGATAGCAAATATCTGCTATGAAAACCATTAATATATAGTCCTGAAATCAATCTTATTGCTAAAAACCTGCATCATAATTAAATATATGGGAACACATTTAATGTTTAAATAGGCTAAAATTATACTTCCATATTATTGTCTGAAAAGTGCTGCTCAGGGTTTTATTTTTTTTCATTGGTTGGGGGAAAGTTAAGCAGAAACTGGGATGCACGCTATTGAAATTAACAGCCCCTCACAAGTCCTTGAAAATACCTTTCCAGAGAACAGCCAAATCCAATCAGATTTCCACTCAAATCCAACCAAGATTTCTCAGGAAGAGACTTAGTTGGACATACCCAGCTGTCTATTTCATCACAGATCACATAATTCTTCCTGGTGAAAAAGCAGATCCTCAATATACACAGTATCATGTATACGTGTATCCCCATGTATACAGAGTAGAGAACTGTATTTGATTTGTGCTTATTGCAGATTGCTTTCATTCTTGCTTGTTTAAATCCAACTTCTCTGCTCCTTTCCAGATACCATCATCTCAAGCTTAAACTAGACATTTCTCTAAAGTAACAGCACTAAGAAGTAGGAAGATTCGAAAGCGAATTTATTGCCCTAGGCCTAAACAACAGTGTTCCCCGACACTTCTTTTGGTGCCTACTAGCTTTTTGCTATTTTTTAAAATCAGTGTGAAGCTGACATTCTTCAACAGTGCACACCTTGCCCCACAAAAGCTGCATCAGCATTTTGAGCCAGTGAAAATAATGATAGGCTGGAGACTAGTGGCTCATTTTTCCAACTAAATGACACCTGTCCACAGAAACAGAAAAAGACAAATGTAAACTATACTGTGATAGAGAAATCCTGAAGGAATAGCAGATAGCAATTGCATCAACTTGCCTTCTGTTAAATGGGTTTATATGATGTGAAGCACCCATTGCATGCTAAAAAATTTCAAACCTACCCTTACCTCTAAAATATTTGTTATGCTTGACATTTGTTGAGCTTTTTTTCAAGATATCTTTTCAAGAAGGCATCATTCATATGTTCCAGTGTCATATGTTTACATTTCACCATAAAAATATACACTAATCATTTCTGATATGTTTGAGAGCCAGATATATTGAATGACAAGCAGAGATAGCATAATGTTATTTCTAAAGTAACTCCTTAAACAGAATGGGTATTTCCATAGTTCAGATACATACATTCATAAGCCCTATAAATTATTTTCAAAAGAAAGAAAAATGTTGTAACAATGTAAGATCTAAAACCACATTTTTAAAAAAGCAAGAGATCACGCACTCACTCTCACACACACACAAATAAAAGATCTGCTCCACTTTTTGTTATTATCTAAAAATTGGCTGTTAACATTTTTGTGCTTTACTATAACATTTTGTAATACATAATATTGGCTTTGGCTGCCATTTGTGAAATCATATAGAAATATATAAAATGTGCCACAGCTAGTCTTTATGCTTGATATACAAACACATTTCAAGTGTGCATTAAAATGTACATTTTTGACAGTTAGGTAAATAATAAGATAGAAATGGGTATGAGAGAGAGAAAAAAAACAATCCAGTTTCCCTAAGATGTGGAGAAAAAGACTCAACACTTGCAAGAAACAAATGGCGGACTAAAGACAGCTCTATGAAAAGTGGAGCCACTGACTGTAAAGAATAAAGAAGTGGAACCAGATCAGCTCTTTCATAATTCCCCCAAGGAAAGAACCTGAGATCAGTGCTCCAGGCAGCTGCTCCTCATAAGAAGATCGCAATATAGCTGTCTCTGATGGATTTAAAGCTCCAGGAAAGAATAGAATAACTATCTTGCTCAAACTACAAGTTAGTGCATTTGAAAGGATAGTGTGTTTGCAGATTTCTTTTCTAAACATTTTCAGAAATGGCTTCTTAACGGCTTTTCAGCTATCAGGAAACTTTGGGTCAACTTTGGAAAAATTTTACATCGTTTTCTTTCAATCCACAGTTGAAAGAAGTTTTTAATATAAGTTTTAGGACTTTAAAAATTATTTTTGAATAAACCACAATAGGTGATTAAAACTTTGATTTTAGAAAGTTACAAGCAGACTAGAGGTCCATAAAATTTGAAATAAGAGTTAGGAATTAATTATAAAGAATCCTATTTTGAATTCTAAAAAAAAAAAAAAAGACTTTAAAGGTTGGACACTAGAGGGAACTTGTCAGCCTCCTAAGTAGTCCCGGTAGGAAACCCAATAAGATGAGCTAATTCTACTTTATTGTAGGGCTACAATAACAGAAAACCTACAAGTCTGAAAGTACAACTCCTGCCGTCTCTTTTATTGATAAACTGGGACAGATTCTTTCTAAATTTCTTTCTTTGTTCACTGTTCAGTTGCAGTCTCTTTCCCCCTTTAATCCGATTGTTTCCTAGGAAGCATCTCTTCCCCTGATTTGCCAAAGTTATCTCCAAACACCATTTCAGAACTAGAAGGAACTAAAGATTATAACTGAATGAGAAGAATACTCAAACTCAACTCACAATTATGGAATGAAGCAGAGTATTTTAATACTGGACATAGCAAAGAATATTTTGGAGCAATGGACTCAAAAGTTAATTTTAAAAGAGTGTCTGGCTCTGTGTTTCAAAGGTATTATGGAAAAGGAACAAATTTTACCATGTTAAAATAACATGGATAAAAATGTTACATTGGACATGCAAAAGAAACTGGGTAATGTCTTAATAATTAAAAATGATTTACAAAAACAAATCAAGAGATGATCTGGATAACTTTTTTACACTGGATTTACAAAAGAGGATTTTTAAAGCTTTGAATAGTTTTATGAGAAGACACAAAGAAAAAATGAAAAGAAATAAAATTCTAGGATATTATTTGAAGACACTATAGCTCAAGATCTTTAGAAGTAAAAAAGATTATATGTAAATTTGGTTTATTTGATCAAGGCTAAAGTAGATATGTTGTTATATCTGGTAATGTTTAATGGATGTTGGCTGACATCAGGACAGAAATTATAAGGCTTTATAGCAGGGGTGG